CCCATTCCACCACCAAAGCCACCCATTCCCATTCCTCCACCGCCGCCCATGCCTCCACAGCTCATTCCTCCACCGTATCCGCCCATCCTGCCACCGTATCCGCCACCGCCGTAGCATCCGCCCACGGCGATCCTTCTGCTGCCCCCTGAGTTATGGAGGCTCCGGCTGCTGTACCCCCCGCATTGTCCTCCTCCTCCTCCTCCCCGGGATGAGGAGTACGAGCTGTAGCTGATCCTGCTCCGGCCACCACCACCTCCAAATCCACCACCAACAGCAGAGCAGGAACTAAATCCCTTTCTCCCTCCRAAGCTCCTGCAGACAGACTGACGAGACATGGCTGGTTTTTTTTTTCCAAGCAGATTCAAAATCCAGAAGAGCAGAAAGACCAACGGAGTTGATGAGGGCAGGGAGAAGTCTGCAGAGTCTTCTCTGATTCCAACAGCTCTGAGCATTCCCTTTTATCCGCTGCTGGAGGTGGGCTGGGACAGCTTGGGTGTGAAGGTGGAAAGCAATTTAGTATTTTCATCAGCACGGTGTTGTTGACAGATTCTCCATGAGCTTTGCCATATTTGGGGCTGCCCAGAAACACGCCCTGTAATCTAGAGGTGAATAAAACGAGAGCATTGTGGCAGGTCTCAGTGACTAAGTGGACTCCCATATCTTTATGACATCTTGGAAATCAATTTTGCCCATAATCGCCTTTCCTGCAGCTCCTCATTGGATTTCCAGCCCTCATTAGTGTCTCCCAATAATTCTAGATATAAATCTCCCCAATCAAAGTTTCACAGAAAGGCAAACTTTTGATGAAATCCYAGCTATAATATGGCTTTCACAATTCCTCAAACACACCCTAAATCCCCTTTTTATATGATAAATTGCCTTTGGCGTTTCAGGAGACATTTCCCAATCCTGAACGGGAATTCACGATAGCAAAATTTGAGGAGACTCAGCATATTCTCCTGCTGGAGAGGAAAATCATCTCGGAGCGTGTGGTGTCACTACGATGGGAGTGTCTTCTGCCCRTGGACTGAATTCCCTCCACCTGCAACTCCCCAAATCTGGGACAACCATCTGGGACTTTGGATGATGCAGGAGCAAAGGGAAGAAGGTGATTGGAATCATCCTCAGTGTTCTGAGGGTGACAGGGAATGACACCTCACAGAAGAACAAAGGGACACGTTGGAAACCCTTCGGTGACRATGTCAGGGACAGACAGACRAACACATGGAAGARGAGCGACAGATGGACAATTCGAAGYGGTGATGGATTCCTGCTGCTCTGGTGAATCCTACGACCTCTGATTTACTTGGTTTTTTTTCACAAAAATGAGATGACTGACATGGAAAAACCTGCTGAGAAATGGAGCTGTTGCAACCCCCAAGGCACAGTATAACCTTTTGCTTCCTAATAATCTATTGGGAAAGGAATGTGGTTTAGGAATGTGGTTTAGAAATTTATTTTATAGGATGTCTCTGAAATAAACCCCTTTTTTGTGTTGCATGTAAATGAAATTTTAATTAATTATAGGAAATACAAATAATATCTGATAATAAATCAAATCAAATGGTATAATTTTTTATTTAAAAAAAATAGATTCTAGTTTCAAAGGAAGCCGTCTGTAAATGTTATTTAAAAAGAATTCTGAAGGTTTGATCTACCTGGACATTGCCAATTAAATACTTGAATAATTTAATTAATTAAATAGAAAATGAATGTTCGTATTTATCTAGAAAACGGCGCAAGTAATGAAAAAGTGACAGAAAATGCACATTCCAGCCCTTGAAAATATTTAAAACATGAATTTAAGGCCATTCAAATACCTACATACAAACACAGACCTTCGGAAGGAATTTTCAGTCTCCAATGAGATCTGGGCAACTAAATGGGGTTTGAAARTACCACGAGGCATCAGAAACATAAMTGATCCTGACTKTCACTGGGATGGGGATTCGAGGCCCCAAAGTCTGCAGGGAATGGGGTGTGGAGGARGAGGGRAGAAYGTTACCCTGAAGGAGCCAGCGGTTGGCGAAGGGTTGTCCTACCCTTGAGAGACTCAACAGTTGGCCAAGAGTTATCCCACCCCTAACTCCTGATTGGGCAAGGGTTATCCCCGTCCTGAGGGCTTCAGGTGAGAGCTGGCAAGGGTTATCCCACCCCTGAGGGACTCAGAAAACACTTTTCCAAGGATTAGCCCTCCCCAGGAACTCAGGAAAGAGTTGGCCAGTGGTGACCCCACCCTTGAGAGAAAAGGTTCTCCACCTTTGAAGGGGAGCAAGACGGGCCAAGGGTTATGCAGAGGTTGTTCCTGCAGCTGGAGAA